CCAAAAGCATCACGCACAGCATCATTCACGGCATCGGCTTCATCCACTCGAACTCCCATCCGTGAAACTACTGGAACTGACTCAGCACCCATATCTAGCCGTTCCCCATGTAGTTGCCAAAATACGTACTCTCGCGGAAAAGGCTTAAAGATTAAATGTTCCCTAACAATATCTTTGGGATGCCACTTTTTGAAATTACATTTAGGACAGGGACACTGAATCTTACCATTTACGGCAGCATTGGCGAAAGCAAAATCCAAGAAATAGTTTAGACCAGCCAAGTATTGCGGAGTCGACCGGTGCAAGTTGATCCACGACCTATCCATCACTAATAATGCTCAAATTTCGTGAAAATATGACACAGGAAGCTCAAAGAGAAGTTAAAATGGAATTCAGTTGGAGTGCTTCAGCTTATAAAGGAGGCTGGTGGAACGGTCATTTTTTTGTAGCGGTTTGTAACCGCGGTTATTAACCGCTAGAAATTCAAAATATCGGTTACAAACCGATAGAAATTTCTAGCGGTTTAACGGGAATTTTTTCTCCAACGGTTTTGAAATTTCTAGCGGTTATAAAACCGCTAGAAAATCGGTTTCTAGCGGTTTTTATGAACCGCTAGAAAAAGAGGTAATTTTCTAGCGGTTTTGTAAACCGCTAGAAAATTACTAAATATTAAATCAGTAATTTTCAGTTGATATTATTTTTAAATATTAAATAGAAATACTGCACAATAAATTAATAACATTACAAAAATAAATATTTATTAAATTAATAAATGATTATAGAATTATTTTGATTAATTAACATGTTTAACGTGTTTAATAAATTGTAATGTTGATGTTGTAATAAATAAATAAATATTTCAATATTAATTAATACTTGACATAAATAAAATTATAGAAATAAATAAATAAAGTAAACAAATAAATATAAAATTTAAATAAATATCTAAATAGTATATAAAACCGTAAAATCAAAATTCTAATAAAATCCCATACAATGAAAGCAAGATAAATCATGGGTGAGGGGCAGAAGCAGCATCATCGTGATCATCCTCTGCTGGATCCTCCGGCTGGGGGTGGGCAGGCCGCTCAACCTGCTGGGACTGGACTGGCGGATGGGGGGTAGGGGCGGGACTGGTGGCAGGTGTAGGTCGGGGATCTCAGGACCGAGATGTTTGGAGCTATACTGACCACCACATGACGCAGAGCCGTAGCAGCTGCCAAGAGCTGGTCAAGCTGCGTCTGGAGCTGACGATCACGCTCCTGCAGCTGACGATCACGCTCCACGATCCTGGCCTCCATCCTGGCCTCGAACTCTTGTCTGAGCTCCTCTCGCAATTCCTCTGAGGATGAGGAACCCGGCCGCTTCGCACTAGCATGAGAGCTCCCGGCAGTATATGAAGGGCCAGCGCCACTTGAGCGGGGCAACCTAGTCGGTGTAGGTCCAAGTCCAAGCCCGCTAACTCGACCAGGGTGCTGCGGCCGGCCACGACCCGCTAAAAGTGAGGCGGTGGGATCCAAGGCAGACCCCTGAGACTCACGCAACTCGGAATCGACCTGAGTCATCCGTGCCTACCAAAATTAATATAAAGAAGTTAATTATAATATAATGATATCTACACTGTGATATTATATTAATATTTAATTTATTACTTACCGCTATCTCCTCAACCTCATCCGACGCACGCCCGTCTCGAGGTCTATACACCATCGGCCACATCTCGCCATAAGTGGCCGTGTATCCCCGCTCCTGCGTATCTTTTCCCTCTGTAAATGAAATCAAAGAAATAATTAGTTACAAATTAAATACATATACATATTTAATAAATTTATTTCAAGTACTCACAATCTCGTCATAAGTGATCGCAAAGCTCCTGGATCCAGCCCTATGACGTATCGTCTGATGCCTGACGCTCCCAGCATTTCTCCTAGAAAGAGCCTGAAGCAAAATGTAAAAAAATTAAATTAAATGAGTCAAGTCGGATAAAAAATAAAGAAATTATAATTAATACAATATTATCATACCATCTGGTCAGCCGTCATCCTAAAATAGACGTAACTGGACCAGTCTTGGTCCGGGACTCCACCAGGTACATCTGCCAGTATCTCCTGGAGGGGCCTCGTCCCGTCACCTTTCTTCTCCCTCCACAGGTCGGCCCTCCTGTTCTTCCATGCCATCCCAAGCCTCTTGATCGTGTCAGCCCTCAACTCCTCCCCCAGAATAAATTTACTCTATGATTAAAATAATAAATTAACTAAATAACAAATTATAAACAAATAATTAAGCAATTTCAATAATAAAAAACAAATAATTAGTTTTTAACTAATTTAAAAATATTATAAATAAAATATAAATTAATCAAAAACAAATAATAATTAAACAATTAAGTAATTTAAATGAAAAAATATTTTTACTCAACTAAATTTAAAATTATTATAAGTAATAAATTAATGAAATCAATAACAAATTTTTTCATTTAACTACTTTTAAATAATTTAAATAAAAAATATATATATTCATTTAACTACTTTTAAAAATATTATAAATAACAAACAAATTAAATAAATAAAAAATTATAATCAAACAATTAAATTATTTGAAAACAAAATATATAATCATTTATTTAAATTAAAAAAAATTATAAATAACAATTTTATATTACCTTCATCATTTCCCAGCCTTGCTGCTTCTTGTCTGAGGTGATCTTCTTCCAGTCCTGCACGTAGATGGGGAACAGCGTCCACTGCTGACCAAGGAGGCGCACGTACTTGTTGTACAACTGGCCACCTTTCTTCGTCGGTTGGCCCAACTCATTGAGCGGCACAACCACTCGTCCGCTCGTCATCATAGACAGCTCTCTGGCTGTCAGCCTCCGATAGGACCTGTTCCCCTCAGTGTCTGCAAAATTTAATTAAGAAATAAATTATATATCAATAAATTAATACAATTTCTATATAAATTAAATACTGATCAAAATTTTAAAAAGTTAAATAAATACTTACCGACAAATTCCACCTCATAACCAGCCTGACGTCTCGGAGCAGGACGCTGCGCAGCCTGGGGATACTCATTCCCTGATCCTGATCCTGCTCCTCCTCCTCCTCCTCGTCAGCAGCATCAGCATCAGCATGGGGTTGCTCATCCCCAGTAAAATGAGCCTCCTCAGTCCGCTCAACATCATCCTGCTCCATAAAACTGAGGATATCCTCCTCGCTGAGATCGTAGTCATGAATGCTGGGGAATGGCTCACCAGCATCATGATGAACCTCACTGGGTCCAGCTCTCTCAGGATCAACTGGGTCTTTCCCGTGCCGACGAGTCATCCTAATAACAACAAATAGTAATTATTTATAAATAAAATAAAAAGAAAAATTTTTATAAGCTACAACATAATAAATTAAATAAAATAAAACATAAAATAAAAATTATTTATCAATAAATTACTATTTTTACCTGAAAATAAGGATCTGCAACTGAATCAGAACTCGAATATGTTTGTGGAGAAAATTCAGCAGAGCTTCGCTTCCAGAACGATTGAAGAAGTGAAAGGGGGGTGGGGGGGGGTTTATATAGACCGAGATTTCTAGCGGTTCGGTCCAAAACCGCTAGAAATTCCCAACGGTCACATGTGCCTCGGGAATTGGCAGAATTTCTAGCGGTTCGGTCCAAAACCGCTAGAAATTTCTAGCGGTTTGGACCGAACCGCTAGAAATTTCTAAACTCCTCGGGAATTAAAAATATTTCTAGCGGTTCATGCATCAACCGCTAGAAATTTTCAGTGTCTAGCGGTTTATTGGCCTGAACCGCTAGAAAATAAACGCTACAAATTTGGCGCCAAGTTCCCGCCAAAACCCGGAAATTTTCTAGCTCTAAATTTCTAGCGGTTAGGTGGTAACCGCTAGAAATGTACGGCAATGGTCAAACCGTCTGTAATTTGCAGCGGTTTTTCTAAAAACCGCTAGTAATGTTAGCATTTCTAGCGGTTTTGTTGAACCGCTAGAAATGTTCCGCTGCTAATTCTACATTTTTGCTTGTAGTGCAAATATTAATTTCAGCACATTCTTCAAACTCTATGCAACACCAAAAAAAAAAGCATAGGTAGTTTGAACTGATTTAATAACCTTTATTTGGCAATTTGGTCTTGTGTTTATTTATTTGTTTGTTCGTTTAAATTCGTGAGTGGAGGAAAAAAGTGCACATACAATTTTCAGGACAAGTGGATCCAGTTTTCCAACCATATATATGGCACAATGTCAACTTCAATTCAAAACCATTCACAGTGATAATAATAGTTTAAGTGTTAGGAGTCCAATTATAATTAAATTGGGATAACTCAGTTATGATTATCAAACAGTACTCCACCTCTTGTCTTTTATGAAAGAGTTATTTAATAAATTTGAGCAGATTAAAGCAGTTAGATAAATTAATTAGTTCATTATAATAAATATGACTTGCTCTTGAAAACACACCCTATATGTAATATTTTATTTTATTTATTAGTTTAGATTAGGTAAATTAGTTTGAAAAAAAAAAACAAATATAATAGACATAGACAAAGTGAATTGTGTCTTGTATTTAGAATTAAATTTAACTCCAAACTAGTTCTGATTATTCATATATAAGCTGGTTGAAAAGAATATTATTTAAATAAAAAGTTATTAATTCACAAATACAAAAAGCATTCAGAACATATTTATGTATAAAATACACATAATCCAACAAATAAGAGTTATTAAAACACAAATATGACCAACTCTTATTCTTTTTCATTCAAAATGGCATCGATCACTTTAATTAAACCCGGGGAGAGAAGGAAAAAAAAAATTAAAGAAATTCATCTTGATCATAGTCTGTTCAAAACTCTTGCCTGGACCAATCACAACATTGATTCACCGATCACCGCCAGTTTTTTAATGTGCTAATTAAGCGCCACCACTTTGCTGACCCTATATATATACTTCATTGTTTTTACTTCTTTTCTTCACCAAGCAATCACAAAAATGATAGTTATCAATAAGAGCTTCCTTACTGTGTTCTCCTTATTCCTTCTTGTTATCAACTTCACCTTCACCCATGGCGCTAGGTTTTACGTCACAAACAGATGCCCCTACACCGTTTGGGCGGCAGCCGTGCCAGGCGGAGGCCAGCAGCTGAACCCCGGCCAGATGTGGAGCCTTGACGTGGCTGCTGGCACTACCGCTGCTCGCATATGGGGCCGAACCAATTGCAAGTTCGACGGGTCGGGCCGTGGAAGGTGCCAGACCGGCGATTGTGGAGGTCTTCTTAGATGCCAAGCCTATGGGACACCCCCAAACACACTTGCAGAATTTGCCCTAAACCAATACATGAACCTGGACTTCTTTGATATCTCACTTATTGATGGCTTCAATGTTCCCATGGAGTTCAGTCCGACGTCTAATCGGTGCCGCGGAATCCGGTGCGCCGCTGACATCAATCGGCAGTGCTTAAACGAGTTAAGAGCTCCAGGTGGTTGTAATAACGCTTGCACAGTGTTTAAAACGGATCAATATTGTTGCAATTCTGGGAATTGTGGACCCACTAATTATTCAAGATTCTTCAAGGATAAGTGCCCCGATGCTTATAGTTACCCTAAGGATGATGCTACCAGCACTTTCACTTGCCCAGGAGGAACAACCAACTATAAGGTTGTCTTTTGCCCTTGAATTAGAATATGTACGTCGTACGTTACGTTGTATTGTGTTTTCTCACTCCAAATAAAAGACTATATGCAATCAGACGTGCGTCAATCTTCCATATCTACGGTGCAAGCACTGGTATATTAATCTGCTGATGAGGTTTCACCAAAAAAAAAAAAACTTGCTGATGAGGTTATATTAAATTCCCAACCTATGTTTACCTTATCGTGAAATATAAGAGTCAAATAACTAATTTAATTTATTAAGTTAGTTATTTATATAAAATTTGCGCTAATTTTCCAAAATATCTCTTTGATTCTGGTGGCACTGCTGCATGGGATCATTAAACCATAAATACGATGATTACATCATAAAATCAGACGAATGCTAAATAGCTTTTGCAAAATGTATATAAACAGGTTATGTATTCGAATCAATACTCTTATTTGAGTTTTAGAAAGTTAAGAAATTTATAATTCATGAAAAAGTTATAATATACTACTTCTTATCCTTAATATAAGAACTAGTTGACTAATTTGAGTAGATTAAATAAATGACTTAAGTTAGTTGTGTATTATGAACTGTAACTATTATTTGATAAAACCTTTAATATATATAATTACTATAAAAACTACCTTAAATAAATAAATAAATATGAGAGATGGTGAATTAGGATCTTATATTTATAACCAATTATTGAATGTCAAATTAGCTCTTATATTAACAATAGAATGTAAGAATTATTTTTTATGGAACAATAATATGAATTAGAACTATTCTCTTGGAATTCAGTCTCTGCGATTTTAGGTGTTGGTGAATTAAAAAATTGTTTTTGTTATCACATAGTTTTTAGTCGCTAAAGTAGTACTAGTTGTCAATACTTTAATTAAAAAGTTGTTGTCGTTTCATTGGTAGTGATCTTATATAATAATGGGAAAATCCCATATAAATACCTATTGAATTCTAAAATCCCAAATAAATCACTCTAATTTCACAAAAGACAAATAAGCCTACAGGTATTAAATCGGAATTTGCGAATTTTGACAAATTACCTCCATGCCCTTTTTCTCATTTCCTTATCTTCTCTCTCTTCGTCGTCTTTTTTACGGCAGAGACACAGCTTGTATGGAAAATTACTTTATGCCGTGGCTGCATCATTCTTTCAATGGATTTTGTTAGACATTGGAGACGCAATTGAAATATTTTAGGATAGAGAAGAGAGATTGCCATTGATTTTGGGAGCACACCATTCTACAACGGATCCTCTTCTTCTTCAAATAGTGGCCATTGTGAAACTTTGTTGCTTATATTTATGAATCAAAAGAACCGTGGGAACCAAAATATAACAACTATGAGTCATCTTCTTTAGAGAGAGAGAGAGAAGACACAGCTAGATCTTCTTTTTCCTCAGTCATGGTAGCACTAAATATAGTTACTGTCATAGAACATTCTGGTTTTTGGTAAATGTCATTAGTGCAGTTGTCAAACCCATTATAAATGTTGTCAATCATATTATTTTGTAATAGATTGACTTTTGAAGTCTGAATGACAAGAAAATATTATAGATATTAGTTTAATCTTAATGCTACCTTGTCATTTGAATATATTTAATGTAACTTCTGTCATAGGCTTGTTTTTTTTCGTAAATATTGTCATTTTAGTGGTCAATTCCATTACACATGTAGTAAATTATGAAAGTTATTGATATTATGTTTATTATGATGTTTTTCTAGTGTACTTGTATACTACCTTGTCAATACATTTTGACCCTTGTTTAATTCCCCTAAAGGCTAGGCTTAAAACAGGTTGCAAAACTTGCTATGGATGTAGTAATTTTCATTACGCAAGTTATCATTCCCATTACATGTTTAATAAAGTTGCCTGCCAATGAACTAAAATTGGATTGCAAATAATCAAGTTACAAGTCGCTTGATGGAAATGATAACTTGCATTATGCAAGTTGTCATTTTCGTTACTTGTTTTGTAAAATAATATGTAAATGACTTAAAACAGGTTGCACAAAAGCATTATGAGACTTGTAACTTGATTATTTGCAATCCAATTTTAGTTCATTTGCAGGCAACTTTATTAAACATGTAATGGGAATGATAACTTGCGTAATGAAAATTACTACATCCATAGCAAGTTTTGCAACCTGTTTTAAGCCTGGCCTTTTGGGGGAATTAAACAAGGGTCAAAATGTATTGACAAGGTAGTATACAAGTACACTAGAAAAACATCATAATAAACATAATATCAATAACTTTCATAATTTACTACATGTGTAATGGAATTGACCACTAAAATGACAATATTTACGAAAAAACAACAAGCCTATGACAGAAGTTACATTAAATATATTCAAATGACAAGGTAGCATTAAGATTAAACTAATATCTATAATATTTTCTTGTCATTCAGACTACAAAAGTCAATCTATTACAAAATAATATGATTGACAACATTTATAATGGGTTTGACAACTGCACTAATGACATTTACCAAAAACCAGAATGTTCTATGACAGTAACTATATTTAGTGCTACCATGACTGAGGAAAAAGAAGATCTAGCCGTGTCTTCTCTCTCTCTCTATCTCTAAAGAAGATGACTTATAGTTGTTATATTTTGGTTCCCACGGCTTCTTTTGATTCATAAATATAAGCAACAAAGTTTCGCAATGGCCGCTATTTGAAGAAGAAGAGGATCCGTTGTAAAATGGTGTGCTCCCAAAATCAATGGCGATCTCTCTTCTCGATCCTGAAATATTTCAACTGTGTCTCCAATGTCTAACAAAACCCATTGAAAGAATGATGCAGCCACGTCATAAAGTAATTTTCTATACAAGCTGTGTCTCTGCCGTAAAAAAGACGACGAAGAGAGAGAAGATAAGGAAATGAGAAAAAGGGCATGGAGGTAATTTGTCAAAATTCGCAAATTCCGATTTAATACCTGTAGGCTTATTTGTCTTTTGTGAAATTAGAGTGACTTATTTGGGATTTTAGAATTCAATAGGTATTTATATGGGATTTTCCCAATAATATATTGTTGCTCAAATTCTGGCGACGGACAGGAAAGATATTTTTTTTTTCAATATAAGGATAATTAGATCATTTTACCATTTCAAAATAGTTCATAAAAATTTTAAATTTCATAGAAATAAAATTTCGAGGAACCATTTTAGGATTATGATGTTTTGGTGGACCTTGTTGGCATACCTTTATCCTATGGTTTTCCTATGATTATTAATTAAAGATTCTAGAACCTGAAAATGGAGAGAAATTACTGTGTTTCAAAAATAGGTAGGCCAAGAAGGTGGCTTTTAATTATGTCCAAATGTTAGGTTAAAATCCAATCAAACAGTTTGCTCCATTCTTGCTCAATCAAGATTTTTTTTCTCCTTTTTGCAACTAGACAACTAGCACACACACACACACACACATATATATATATATATATAATACTATATTATTAATTAAAAATAGGACAAAGATGCATCCAACTACTTTTTCTTATTTTCCAAGTATACTCAGCACTCCGATTTTTTTTATAATGTATCCAGCACTATGACATATCTTAAATGTTGCATAATTCTCATATCTTATCATATTAGTTTGAGAAAAAATATATTAGGAAATGATTAAAATCATGATTTTGTTATTATCATAACCATTAACCACAAGATCCATCACACAATCTCAAGCTTAACCATAAGAAAAAAAGTTGCCCATAAGTTTCATGCAAGAAAATTAAACACAAAGAGGTAAAAAAAAAAAATTCATATTTATAAGTTAAACCTGAATAGCGATAACAAGTCAAATTTTCATATTTATAAGTGGAGTTGTGTCTTTTATAAGTCAACTTTTACAAAAATAAATTAATTTTTTTGGGTACCTCTACCCTGTATTCCTGCCTCAGAACTATATGTAATTTTGCCTAACAATAATTATTCCTTTGGTTCCTCCTTCTTCGTGTCATATACTGCCGGGGAAATATTACCATGAAATGGCTTCACCATGTTCCTTTTGGTCATTCATGGAAACTATGAAGAGTGTATTATTAAAAAATTATGCATAGGTATCTCGCTATTACAGAGGTTAGCGTTCTTGTTCAAGATACTGTCATATACTAAATATAGACATCTTTCTTAGTAAGGATTTAAATATTGATTCTTTATGTTATGAGAAACTAGTTTCTTCTGTTAGATCCAATCTTGTTAGTTAGCAAGAAGCTGTCGTTTACCCACATTGAAATGTATATAATTTATATTAAGTTGAATATTTTTCTTCCCTGGGCATTAGTGGATGAGCACTAAAAGATTGCTCAAATAGTAAAACCGATTATATTAAATAAAATTAATTTTTACTAATCGGGACTGTCCACTGCAAATTACTTTTTGCAGCACTACTAACGCACCGAATTCATGATCAATATAGTCATAATTATAAAGCTAAGTAATTAAGCAGCCTTCGTTATCTACAGTTGTCGATTCTTTGAATTGTTTAAAGTTGTAGTCATTATTCACTTCCATTTTTAAATGTTTAAAGAAGGGGTATTTCTGCATTAATTGGAAGACTTAACTATGTGAAGTGAAGGATGATTTAATAAAGAAATAAATATCTCATTATGTCCATGTGCATTAATGCCGATAAAATATTAACCTCAATTATGTGACTGACGTAAAACATCCTCTTTTTTTTTTTTCCCTTCCTTGTCTATGTTGTTTGTCTAACCGATCAACATAAATTTTGGACAAAATTACTACGTTTCTATACAACTATCCTCTACTAATTGATGCAAGTATCTAGCTACTCCTCCGATCATAAATGTAAAACCCCTTTTATAGTATAAATTATATTACAAAAAGAGTTTTATATTCAGGACTGGAGGAGTAATATAGAAAGTACCATCTATAGTAGTAGTTGTAATATTTTTGTTTGTGGTGATGGATTGTTTGCTATGATTATTGTTATCAAACTCACGAGTTCACTTTTTGAATTTAACGTTTTTACATAGGCTCATGCTAATGTTTACTACCTCTGTTCTTCATTATAAGATCTAATTTTTTGAATGAGTTTTTTCCTTTTTATATGATCCTCTTTGAGTTTATCTGAGTATTTAATGTAGTATTACCTATTTTACTCCTAATTTAATGTACTTAATATATTCTCCTTTTCATTTATCTCGCTATTACTCCCTTACGTTTATCCGTTTATATATAGGGGTATATTTGGAGAAAAAATTATATTTACTACATATTAATTACTTTTAACTAATTTTAACTATTTTTTTAAATTGTGTAATTTAATTAAAAAGATCTTATAATAAGGGACGAAGTATATTCTATTATGCTGCAAAGTTATACATACAGTACAATAAATGTTATTATTTTTCTTTCAACATTATTGATCAAAATAGACTTTAAAACTCCCAGAATTCTATTCAAGAGTGAAAGATCAGAATTTGATCTGTAAACTTTTGCAAGAAGCCAACCAACAAGAACATAGTAAAACAAGAGTTGAAATCATCAAAAACCAAAAGTCAACTAAAACTCCAGAAGTCTCTATGGTTTTATTACGCATCTGGTTCGAGTCAGCTAGCGAGTGAAATTATTTGCAAGTAACTCCCGCAAAATTTTTAGAGATTTATACATGTTCACTCTACAACAAAAATACAAATATTTGATGGTTATTTTTTTTTTATCATAATTAACGATTATAAACCATCAAATATGTAAGCATCGTATATTCACATGGTAAATAACCCTCAAATATTTGCAAAAATATTTGATGGTTTTAACAATAAATTAAAGCCGTCAAGTATTGTAACGTATTAATCATCTTCTTGTATTAAATACTTAACGATTACTGAAAATAACCATTAAGTGTTTGCCAATCAATACTTGATGATCATTGACAACAACTGTCAATATGGGTAAACAAATAAAAAAAATACATCTCAAGTTCCTTAATAATTTTTAATCTAATTGATTTTTGTGAACTTTAATTGAAATAATATATATTCTAATTCCATTTTTTTTACCACGCATGGATACAAAATTGACCTGAGTTAGAAATTAATGGGCACGGGCAGAAAGATAACCACTATCTACAGATTACCTCATTACCATCACATCATTATAACCACTATCTTTTTAATGTATACCACATCAATGGTTTGTAAAATATCCGCTGTGTTTTAATTTCTTTTTAATGCAAGGGAATATAATGATGGAGAATATAATGGAGTGTAATGCTGATTATCATGGGTTTGTTTGATACTACCTGCTGTACTTAATATAAGAGCTTATTTAATTTTTATTTTGATATTAAATATAAAATTTTAATTTATTTTGTTTCTTATATTTATTTATTTTTACAAGATAGTTCTTATAATAATAGTAGTTTTAATCAATATATTTGATTAGTAAAGATATTTTAGAAAAGACAACACCTATTTATTATAAATAATTAATTTAACTAATTTTTTTAATCTATTTAAATTAGTCAACTAGCTCTTATATTAAGAACCGAACGTAATATAACACTGGAAATATTGAAACAAAATTAATTTTTTATATTTATTATAGCGATCTTAAAAGTGAAAAGACCATAACCGCCTCACAAAATTTTTCCCCCCCTTTTTTCCTTCCATTCGATCTACCATAAAAATTATAGTTTCTTTCCCCTCTTCCCTTCAATCTTCCTTTCCCTAGCTGCCATAACATAATTAACCCCACCCACGCACACTCCGAAATTAATCAATTATAAAAAATAAAAAAAATACAAAACACAGAATCACATTGCGAACTAAAAAATAAATTTTTCATAAGACCACATTTGGAATAAATTCATGATGATGAAATCACAATGGGAGAGGAAGACAGGGGCGGGGCTGCTGCGTCTCACATATTTTGGTCTAATTAACGACCTTCAAATTTAGGTGGGAGGAAGATGAAGAAAATTTAGGTGGTGATCGATAAAGGCAAAGGGAGGAGTAAGAGCTAGTGGCAGCGATTTATAGGGATGAAAAGGGTGACAACGAAGGCAGAGAGGTGTCGGCGGTAGTTGACGCGGCCGACTACGAAGGCAGAGGGCGGAGGAAGGAGGCGATGAAGGTGAGGTAGAAGGAGAGGGAGCAATAATCACGAAGGTAAGAATTAAGGAATATGAATAAGGATATGAGTGTCTTTTAACATGTGATGTAATCCACATATTCATGAGTTTCAAACGTATTAAGGAGGGGAGGTAGTAGCACTTATTTTCAATATAAATTGCTTATTTATCTTTAATATCGTTTTGCAAGTGAAAAAAATGTAGAAAAACTAGAGTGAATGTCTAGTTATATCGCACGATTATCTTCATCCTCCTCGAGATGGTATTTTATGCACGATTAAGCAAATGGAAGATATTTTAGGGCAATATCGTGACTAGACTAGCACAATATCGAGCCCCACTTCCATGGCGTCAGGCCTGTTGCATCACTTTGATAACATCATCATCATCAAAAATTTCAGAACAACCCAGCCTGAGAAACCCTATATATACCCCACGTTGATATCTCTTTTCTTCACAAACCAGTCGCCTTTCCTTAAACCCTAGCTCAAAAAATGGCACTCATCATCAAAAGCCACCTCCTGGTTTTACTATTCCTTCCAGCTCTCATCAACTTCACCTTCACCCAGGCCGCATGGTTTAAGGTCACAAACAGTTGCCCCTACACGGTGTGGGCGGCTGCCATCCCTGTAGGAGGAGGCCGACAGTTGAACCCCGGCGAGAGGTGGAGCTTCGGCATAGCATCAGGAACTGGCGATGCTCGCATATGGGGCCGAACCAACTGCAACTTTGACTGGTCGGGACGTGGGCACTGCGAGACCGGTGATTGTGGAGGCCAGCTCAATTGCCAACTCTCCGGCCAACCACCGGCCACCCTGGCGGAGTTCTCACTTAACACATGGAATAATATGGACTTCTATGATATCTCAGTGATAGATGGCTTCAATGTTCCGATGGAGTTCAGTCCAACCTCTAATTGCCCTCGCCTCCGATGCTACGGCGATCAGTGCCCTGATGCTTATCTTGACCCAGAGGACAATACTAAAACTCATGGTTGCCAATCAGGAACCAACTATAGGGTCGTCTTTTGCCCTTAAGATTAGATGTAAGTATTTAAAGTAGTATGTTTTCATATTACTACCTTCAAATAAGGCAGTAAATGTAATGAGATTCATTCTCAGAACATCTGCCCACATAGGATGTCTTTATTGCTATTGTGGTCGTCTTGTCGTCATAGCTCCTTTGACCCCTCGAGCTTCCACATAAGTAGTATTTTTATGCTAAACTCTTATGCAACCTTTCGGTTATCACTACATGGAGTGATAATACGGGAACTCACATGTTGTGGATTGGCTCGTGACAGATGTATGTTTGTAGATGAGTTGGGTTTTAGCTAACCCTAACTTGTCTTGATGAGTTGGTGGTAGTACTATTGAGAATATCTACCTACATGTGAACTTGTATCACTGAAAATATATTCACTCCATCCCTCAGGAGCAATCTCTTTCATATAGTGGTTGTCCTTAAATATAAGAAACAAACCCTTCTTGTCTAAAATTTTAAACTTATCTTTTCACTTTTATTTTTATTAAATATATGCCACTTATTATCTATTTGCACTAAATTTTTACTCATTATCTCTCATGTACTCACTTTATAAACAAAGGCATAATTTAAAATATATATATTTTACATATTTATTGCTTTTAATTAAATTTAACATTATGAAGATTTTGAAAGTTATTTCTTATAATAAGGGACGGAAGAAGTAATAAATTCTCAGCTTATGAGTAATATAATTGGGCTTAATTAATGATATATGTGTGTATCCATAAACTTGGATTGATGTCTTTATTTTTATTGTGGTCGTCTTGTCGTGATAGCTTCTTTGACCCCTTAGGCTTCTACGTAAGTAGTATTTTTACGGTAAATTCTTATGCAATCCTTCAGTTATCAGTGTGTGGGGTGATAATATAGACCAATTCATGGGTTGTGGGTTTGTTTGTGACAAGTTGAACCTATATAGCGTAGGTTAAAAGGTTTGTTTGTATGCCGGTTGGCTTTTAGCCAACCTTAACCTGCTTTGGTGAGTTGACCTGTCAACAATTATTTATTTTTTAAAAATTTTTCCTTATGCAATATAAAAATATATAATGAAATTTTTGTTTCCCTTTCAAATACTTGGTTGAAAGCACCAAATAATTGATATAGACATTTTTTAGTTTTTTTTAAATAAGACATAACATATAATACTACCTCCGGTCCTTAATTAATATAAGACTTCATTTGAATTTTATTTTGGTTCTAAATATAAGACTCCAATTCATTTTGTTTCTCATATTTATGTATTTTTTTTTTTGGCTCATCACAATTCGTTTCAGAGTTTCAAAGGCGTAATCTAATTATTTCAAATCTTAGCTATCCTCTTTCAATTCTATCCAAACATGTGGACGGATCACACAAGCAGGATAATTTTTTTAAATTGATGTGAATTTTTTACACTACCCAGACAAAGAATTTTTAATTTTAAATGTGAGATTTTATATATAAATTCAAATCACGTTACCCAAAAGAATTTATATGAATGCATCATCGCCGATTCATTGAACATGTGACTTTTTTTTAAATAAGAAAGCTTTTATGCCCAGGGCATAAATATGAAACAGTTATTTCCTTCATTCTTTCAAAAACCTGGCGAAAAAGAAAACATATGATTACTAGAGTGGATAATAGGGCATAAAATCCATGATATACTGCAACATTTCCAAACCACATATACAGTATAGCTCATTCATCAAATTTTATACGACGAATACAATGTTTCCAGTTGCATGATAAAAGAGAGAAAATATAGTCAGCGTCTTAGCCAAAAACCAAATCACATACACTAATTATGTGGTTTCTTTTGTGAATCCTAAGCTTCTAATCCTTATAACAAACAAATGCATTATAGAATGAAATAGCTTGAAATATCCATAATTGAGCATAAAAACAAAACAAAATGAGGGACTGTAAAAGCAAGTTTTTAGCAAAACGAGCACAACTCAATTGATAAGATTAAATAATACTACTTTCGGTCTTTGATATAAGAGCTAGTTGATTAATTTCAGTAGATTAAAAAAGCTAGCTAAGTTAGTTATTTGTAATAAATAAGTGTTGTCTTTCCTAAAATATCCTTACTAATAAAGTGTATTGGCTAAAACTACTATTATTATAAAGACTACCTTGAGAAAAATTAGATAAATATGAGAGATAAAGTAGATTGTGATCTTATATTTAAGACCGGAAATAGTATCTCGTTATTAAAGAACTTACTTTTAAATGTTCTAAATTCATGTTAACCAAATCCAAAAGAACATTCCCAACAAGGAGGAGTCAAAAGAGAGCGCAACATGGTGGCCATACATAACAAAATTAAAAATTGAATACATCAGATCATCCAATTCAGAAACTACTAGGTTCGGACTACTGAGCATATACTGGACAACCCTAAGTGTTAGCTAAGATTTCCTCCAAATGCTCTCTCAACCTCTTTATTCACTCACAGTTCAAGCTGCATGAGGAGCTGAAGACCGAAGATCCCCTTCTGGGTAAATTGCCGCCCACGCAGGTATACAAGAAGCAAAAGCATTTTCAGCACCAAGCTCGCAAGTCTCGCAAGAATTGAAGCACCAAAACTATGATGCTCCTACAAATTTGTCCAGAGCAGATGTGTCTAAGCCTGCAAATTCCTTTACAGCTGCAGCCACAGAGAATCCAAGCTTTACAGCGTCATCATTGCCTGGTGCCTAGATGATAATTCCGAATTAGCTGCAATGTTTCAGTACAGTGCATAACAGCTCAGGCAAAGGCTTAAGAACCTTTTACCTCAATGTTAAGGGGAAGGACAGGGTCATGGAGTGAGAGCCTGAGAAGGAACCATCCGCCATAGCCAGAAACTCGGACCTAATTCATAACCAGAATAAGGGGAGACAAGATGAAATTATATTGAAAACATGATAAGAATACATAAACCAATTAGAGTAGGTAGGCTATTTTTATACTGGATTTGTATTTCATGGTTTCCCATTTCGATATTGAGATGCCTTTTTCGTAAACGCTTTGCAAAAATTCATTTTAATTACTGCCAACAGATTCAAATCTATCTACAAATGAGGTCAAGCATACCCCTTCATAGTTTACAGGTGCCTTCCGTAGCTTTGGATCTGCGCTAATAGAGTTCTCCAAGTGCTTCAGCACAGCTTCTCCATAATCCCGAAATGATCTGAAAACTCTAGCTTCTAAGTGAGTTCACAACATCAGAATACAGGTGCACGCGAACAGAGTCTATATACAGCAACTTACCCTCCCTTAAGGTCCGGATGATTTTGGTTGATCTTTAGTCTCAGTTCCACAGCACAAGCTGGTTCCTGGAGTCCTTCTATTAAATCAGTCAAAACCTTGCTTCCCTCACCCTTTCCTGAAGCTCTTGCCGAGGCAAGTTTGTTTAAGATCTTGACCTGCATATCACAAGACCAACCGTCATTTCTGTCCTCACAAGACATTTTTTCCTTGGCTTAGCATGCGATTTGCTATTATAATTCATCAAGTATTCAGATAATTTAGTTCTCTTCAATTTCTTCAATTTAATCTTTACAGCCTTGCTTTGCTTAAAATGCAATGTGCCAAGGATATATGTAATAAGAATCGAGGCAAATTAATACGTTTTAGGACCAAAATGAGAGCGTACTCAATAGTCAATGATTGACTAGATGACACAACTTTAATAAAAGCCTACCATGAGGTATGCGCCATCATCAAGCCTGTGATTCTCCTTGAGAGCTCCATGTCCACTGGTTTCAATTGCCAGGTGTGACTCCTCGCCAATTGAATTCTGTCAGAAATATTGCTTCATGAGGCAGCTATCTAGCTTATTACATAGAAATCAGAGATTCCATGTCAAAGCATGCAGAGGTAAAATAAATAAATAAATAAAGAATGACGAATATAAAGAATATAAATTTCTTCTGTGCATAACTTCAGTTTCCGTTTTATCTACTTGTCAATGAGCAGCAATAACTAGGTAGGATGCGTACTAGGATTCATTGTCGAATAAATTCAATTAAAATTTATGACGTTCAAATCTCAAACAATGGTGAAGTATTCTTGATATGTAATTATGAACTATGATAAGATTTGGTTAAATTTATTACTTATGTGGATTTTTATCAGGATTTATTTATATTAGTGAGATTTGGATAAGATTAGTAGATTTATTTATTCAGATTTATGCCAATAAATAAATGCAGCACACGGACCTGATTTGCCCTGCAATAAGATTCATATTTTCCCAGATTATTCTCTTACTCTCAAACCCATGTTTTCTCGACATCTCTCTTTTCTCTCTCTTTCATGATCAAATTCCATAACAATTCCGCTCCAACGATAGGGTTGCCTCACATGACAAAAATCATCCATATTATCCATGGAAAAGTAGAACTTCTCATCTCACCAGTCGAATAGCTTCATCAATCACATTCTTGTAGCCCCTCTTGAACCGATGATGCTTCCCACCTTAACAGAAAGTGCAGTTAGCATGTTACTGACACCATTTAAAAGCAAAAGTACTTTGAAATTCAAAATGAAGCAAGGACAGGTTTGGATTATTCATTCCATAAGTGTTTTTTTGAAGGCAAAAGTACTTTGAAATTCAACTAACAAAGAATAGGTCCGACTTATTCTAACACCAAGTCACCAAGGGGACCGTCAGAGGCTAAAGATCATGCCCAAATTAAATTGGTTCATACCAAGCTTCTTCTCAATAAATGAGGTGAGGCCATCAGACGTCACACTGTCTGTGACAATTGTTGTTCCAGGATGCTAGGGAAAATGATAAAAGGAAAAGAATTAAGTCAGCCAAAATATTTACACAAGTCTCAGATTACAAGTACTGGGGCAGAGATAGCTAAGGCAAAAGGTCATACTTCCTCCAGAACAATAGCTGACATTAAAGCAATCAAGCGATTCCGGTTGAATTCACGGCCAGTGGAGTCCACAGCGGCAGACCTAGATGAAAGTGATAGATGTTGATTTTTTTATAAAAAAAATAATAAGCACA